TTTCATCAAGAAATTCCACCGGGAACCTCCCCAAATTACGATGGCCAGACGGAACCTCCTATAAAAGGGCTTATTTGCACTTTTTTTATTAGTTCGAGGGCTTATTCGCCTCTTTTCCCTTTAATTTAAATCATTTCAAAAAAAAAGCTGGGGGAGAATCGAACACAGTACCCCCATAAAATGGAAAGACTCAAATGCGCCCACAATCCCAGTCCGCTATTTCTGCTATTTGGTTTTCTAGTCATGTGTTTGGTATATATACATTTCCTAATTAATTTTATATTTCTAAAAATATATATAATTTTTAGTATATATTTTTTCGAAGTCCACGGGGTCCCGGGACCCCATGGGACCCTTAGTGGGTCCGCCTATGAATACATAACTAACATCAGGTCACTCAAATTTCATAGCAACTGAGAACTAGAAAAAGGAGAATCAAAACTCAATCACTTACGGGGTAAAGTCTAAACAGAACACGATAAACATGCAACTTAATCTGAAAGAGTACTCCCTCGATAGTAGCATCTTTATGTCCAAAGATTTGCTCATTCCTAGCCTTCCAAATTGAATAGACAGTGCAACACAAGGCTAGCCTGACAGCCTTGCTAGTCAATCTTGCTCCTCCATACTGCTTCAAACATAACTTGACTGTGCTCAAGAGTGTAGAAGAATTCTTCTTGATCTTAAGCCACTGTCTAACTCCTTCCCAGATTGCTCTCGTAAATACACATTTGAAGAAAAGATGGTCAGATGAGTCCATGTAAGTCTTACAAAAGCAACATGCTCTATCCATATCTATGTATAGCAAGTTATCACACGTTGGTAGTCTGTTTCTCAGTCCAAGCCAAAGAATAAAAGAGAATTTTGGGGGTATGTAATTTTTCCAAATAAGGTTCATCCAGGGTTTGCTATGACCTTTAACCCTCAAAATGTCATAAACTTTGTTTGACTGAAGCTTACCATTGGTATAGATGTTGTTGAGAGTAGAAATAATACCTGACTTCCCTCCCAATAGTGTACTCAATGCCTCCATGATCTTTATTAACTTGCTAAAAGGGGGGGGGGGGACACTCCATCGGGAGGTATCCAGTCCCACATGGAGCAGTTTCAGAGATATACACAATGCACCCACCGAACCCATAAAGTATCCTTCTTTAGGTGGATATTCCTAAAGATGTAATATTCATGTTATGGTTTATTATTCACGGGTGTTTGGAATCGATTCTGTTTCTATTTCTGCTTCTTTTTTAAAAAGAAATAGAATTAGAATCAGTTTTCAGAAGCTAGTCACCTCCGCTTCTAAAAAACTTATTCTAAGAGTAAATTAGAGCATCAGAATCACTTCTACACTTTCACTCAAACACTGCAAATTCTGCTTCTGCTCCTTCAGGGAGCAGAAGCAGTTTTAAGAATCAGATCCAAACACCCCCTCAATAGAACTTTAAGTACAAATTAAATATAAAAATCATAATTCTAAATAAAAACATGCTGAATAAATTAGAGAAAAACTGAGCACTTCCTCTAAATAAATCCCAAACATAAGAGGTACTCCTTCTAAATAAAGTTCTCAATAACACAATTATTTACACAATAATTGAATATGATAATTCGAGTATATTGTGAGAAATTATTTTGATAGTTATTTCTTAAAATAGAAATGAAAATCATGGGACGTCCAAAAAGTAAAATGAAAACCTTAAAATGTGGGAGTAAATTGAAAATGAAAACGATATTGTTAATTCTATAAAATGTATCACTCCGTTTCGTAATTAAGTTTTTAGTTTGATTGTAATCATTGTATGAACTTTTAGAGCTTTAGTCTAAGTAACTCTCTTTATTGGCTTTAGTCAGTTTAGTGTAAGTATATATGCGGAGTATATCTTCCTAGTGAAAATAAATAATTTTGACACTCAATGAATGTATGTTACGGAGTAGGATTTCATAGTGTAACGGTGAAAGCATTTAAATGTAACTACTCCCTCCGTCCTAAATTATTTTGCAAAATCAACATTTTTTAGTCAACTAATAATAAAAGTCAATGCTCCGTATCGATGATTATTTCAATTTTTAATAATTAAAATCTATATATGCAGAAACTACATTAAAATCTCTTCAAAGTTGTAAACTTCAAATTAGAATATAATTAAAACTTGACATCATAATCAAGCAAATAAAATGACATTGTTTAACTAAGAAAAGTCAAATTTACAAATACGGAGGTAGTATATTTTTTTTATTTAAATGTAACTATGTAAGAGAAACATAAAGTGCAACAAGAAAGTAGTTCAGCTGTCACGGTTAATTACACCCGAACAACTTAGGCTGTACAATACAAACACTGCATTGAGATGGATGTAAGAATATAGTACTCCGTACATGTCACGGAACCAGTAAATAAATGCACCGTTGCTTATGCCAATAAATGTAGGAATGGGCAAAAATACCGAAATGTCATGGTACCGAATCGGACGGGTATGATATCAGACCGACAAACGAGGTTTGAAATGGATTACAATTTTTTTTGTCTCGAACCGTACCAGTTCAAACAATGTCATAACGGATTCTCATAAAATGAGAACCGGTACAGAACCGAACCGGATCGAAATATGATTTAATTAATTTAAATTTATACTACTATAGTTTATCTTGAATTTATTTACTATCTTATCTGTCCCAAATTGATTTGCAAAGTCAACATTTTTTTGTCAATGCTAATGTTAAGTCCTCCCTAATGATGATTAATACAATTTTTAATAATTATAATTTGAAATAATTACATAAATATGACCAAAATAAAGATGACTTACAAAAATATGATTAGTTACTAGAGTAGTAATGAAATCATAGTAATTCGTTGTAATAATGAATAGTCATATTTATGTAAATAAGTTTTTTTTGAGTAATATTCTTGTAAAAACCCCTTATAATTTACATATTTAGAAATCACATTAAAATCTATTTAAAGTTGCTAATCAAAATTAGAATATACGAAGGACTTTTTTTAAAGGCCAAATTAGAATATAATTAAAGAGTGAAATTCTGATTAAATGAATAACAACAAATTATTTGACCAAAAAGGATTGACTTTGTAAATCTATTTGGAATGGAGGTAGTATGAAATATGAAATCGATAAATTGTGTCAATTTTTGGAGGATGGGTAAAATTTAATTTTTTCTTAAATACTTGGAAAAAGTGGCATTGTTTGGTATTGGTATTGGTATGACATGGTACCGCCCCGTTTGAAAATGGACCGTACCAAACGGGTTTTAGTCTAAGACCGAACCGTTTCAATAGTAACGGTACGGGTAAGGGTTCGGCAAAATATTGGACCGGATCGTGCCCACCCCTAAATAAATGTGTGGAAATATATGTTTGTATATGTTAGTTTTTTTATGATTGCGCTCCCCTGATTCTGGAGACTATGAACTACCCTCTAAAGCCCCTAGACAGTTAAATCCGGATCTGATCACAGTCAGTCTCGTCGGTACTGGCTCCACAAGGCGAATTCAGTAGGACTTCCAAAGCATGTCAGCCCAGCTGCACCCAGGGGGTCCTACCACACGAATCCGCAAAACTGCTTTACCATCCACTCCCTTCTTAGCCGCTGAGCAACTCCGTGAAGGTAAGAAGAATCATTGGTAGCAAGACTTCTCTTATCTTCCCTTTGGTGCATAGCGGGTTTCGAACATGAGACCTCACATATGCTGATATGCACCAGTAACCTCACAACCAGTTGTGCTAGTATGCAGTGGCGGAGCCACTATTGTTCAAAGGGGTTCATATGAACACCTAAATTTTTAAAAAAACATGTGGGTATATAGGTGTAATTTAGTATAATTATCTATGGTTCTTTAAATTTATAGTAATAAAAAACAAAACACCCAAAATTGGAATCCCAAATCCGCCACTGCTGGTATGGCTCGGTTTTGAGTTTTTGTCTATGCATAGATAGTATTTTTCATTTTGAAAAGATAATTGCATGTCACCCCAACAAATTTTTTTGCCATTGTAGGTGCAATTTGTTGATAACACACACAAATCTCGTCTACAAGCCGGGCGTGTACACGAAGCAAAGTTGTAAAGTATACACCCCATTATCCTGCGCTCCTTATTTGCGGCTTGGGAACGACTAATTGCTAGATCGCTAGGTGATTACATCTTGAATAGAATTATAGAAGAGTTTGCCCAAAAAAAAGAACTATAGAAGAGAGCATCAAACCATTCAAACGGTACATGGAGAAAAATGTTTATTGCAATGAACAGAATAGACAACGGTGATTCGTTTTAGTAAAAACACCCACTTGCCTCAATTAGTCGATTTGCAATTATTTAACATTAATTTTAACTCAAACCCGATCTATTAACAGACATATATCGTTAAATGCCTATGTTTCTTTCTGCATTCAAGTTTGCCGGGCATGAGCAGAGGCTGCAGAGCCACCTTCTTGTTGTGCAGCCAAAGGGCTGTATTTGGGTGTCTGGGACAAGCATTGCCACCTCGCCAGCTCCAAATTCTCTCAAATTATCTAAAACAATGGTATGAGGCGGGAAGATAAGAGATCAAATAGTTTTAATTACAACAATTAGCCATAACTCGCTTGTTGTTGATTGAAATTGTTGTATCATTGTATCACATCTAGTCTCAAAGCCTAGTATTTGCCAAATGGAAATTCCAACCACATTATTTCATTGCTAATCCTCAAACCAAAACTCATCATGATCACCATGGGCTTTTGTGCTTTCTACTTCAATTTCGTATATATTCCTCTCCATATACATCGGTGTCTACAATCCTTCTTGTTGAGCCACGGTTTTAGACCTTAAGGTTAGGACGAATCCAGAGTCTGGCTTCGCAAGCTAGACAGACAATCTTATCCGATCATTAAAATGTAATGACTAGGTAATTAGGTCGATTGGTAAAATTTATGCATCTATTACTTCTCGTTACGGATGCATTATCCATTTATTTATCTTGATGACGAGGTAAACCCACACGGATAGCTCTACTTATAAAGCGGTGGAAAGTTTGGGCGAGTGTATTACAAGATGGAATGCAGGGAGAAATGACACCATAGATTAATCATACATAGCTAACTCTACTTAACACAAATACATAAATTTGAACCAAAACTGTTCGATAATCTATACCCATACTCTAGAAGGTAGTCCAGAGCGCCTAGTGCATAGAATTGGAACCTCTAACTTTTGGAAATCTATGTAGTTACAATTTACAAAACTCCTACAAAAATGTGAATCTGAGAAGAAAGAAATATAAAGCTGAAAGTAGTGGAGTGATTAATTTCATACCACAAAAACTCTATGAGTTACAAACTTGCCCTCAACTTAACCCCACATTGGCATATTTTCCTTGACTGAAAAAAAAAAACTTAAGATTCATGGAAGAAGAAACCAAATGTTCTTTTCTTTTAATTTCTTTTGTTTTTGTTTTCCCCTTGGCCTTCATTTTTCCTCAAATCGAATTACCACCAAATCTAGGCCTGTGCATCTCCTTTCTTTCCCAATCCATCACCTCCTCCACTCCCTTCTCTATCACTCAACAGTACACCACTCTCATCATCACCCCGTTGAGCCTTCTTCTGAGCCTCCATAGCCTTCAAAGCCTGCAATTTGGAGTGATTGTAATATGCAACGCCCAAGAATGCCAGGCCATACCCAATCAAGTTGACAGGGGTGACAGTGTCCTTGATCACAGACCAAGAAAATGCAATTAGGAGCCAATCCTTTACCACACCAGCCACATTCATGGTCAGAGCTGATGTCTTGCCCACAAGCAAGAACACAGCCAAGTTCAGAGCAAATGCACACAGCGAATTGCTCCCGAAAATCACCAAATCGAATCGGAAGTTCGAATTTTGCTTCAAAACGGGCAATTCGACAAAAATCCAGGGGATACAGAGGAAAACAAAGCAGCTGGGAGCTACATAGTATAAGGATGTGATAGGGTTTAGGTTAATCCCCTTAGAGGTGAGCAAGATCTGAATCATAACAAGTCTGGTGGCCTCGAAAGCCACCGCCATTAATTGCAGAAATACACCCCAGGAGTCGTACTTCGCCTCCCCGTACGCCGCAATTGCGACCCCGATTGAGATCGAAACCATGTTCATCATGGTGGACGGCTTGTACGGATCCTTCTTAAACAGGATTCCGATGGTATACACTGCTACCGGCATGAGAGCCTTGAGCATCTGGATGAAGGAGACGGAGAGATAGATGTAGGCGGAGTTGGAAAACCAGAGGGAGAGGGAGTAGAGGGCGCCGATCGGGAGGATGCACGTGAGGTACACGTGACGGGAGAGGGCGCCGGGGAGCTCGACGACTTTGACGACGCGGACGAGGAAGAAGGCGAGGGAGGAGCAGAAGGCCATGTGGATCATCGTGAGGGAGATCGGAAACGGCCAGTTGTAGAGCTTCCGGTCGAGGATGTATTTGTTGTAGACAATGACGGTGAAGGACAGGAAGATCCATACGGAGACGTAGGTGTACGAGAGGACTATCTTCTTCACTACGCCTTCGGAGAGGGCGGCGCCTTTTCCCATAGCGGCGGCGGTGGCGGTGGCGGCGGGAGGAAGTGAGGGAGAAATTTTTACTCTGGGGACTGTCGGAGCACAAGTAGGTGCCCCGGGGGTGGTTATTTAAAACATACACATGCTTGGTTCTGACTTCTGACTTTAGGGACACTGACGTTTGTGCAGTTACCCATACTCTCACCTTTCCCCCAATTAAGTTCTGATTTCCCTTTTTGGGCGGTTTGAGTTCACACTTCAATACGGAGTAATTCAATAAATTATTTACATCAAAATAGTGCTAAACAGTGTCCAAACAGTTTTAAACAGTGTTTGAACAGTGCAAAACAGTGCACTCCACAGTAAAGTCAAATTTATTTTTTTAATATGTGTGAGTCAAACCGGGAACTTAATTGGGTGGCGGAGGGAGTATAATTTACTTGTTGAGTAATAGACTCTGGGGACTGTCGGAGACTCGGAGCACAAGTATGTAATGTTTATTTAAAGAAAAAGAGGAAAGGGTCGTACACCATCGTGTACGAGGTGGAGTAAAAAGTATACTATGTTACATTTTATCTTTTTAAATACACAAATTTGGAATTTTAGTGTTAATTGAGTACACTTGTTAAATTAACACGTTAATACAGCTGAGTTGGTTAACAGAATGTTGAGTAAGAATGGGTAATGGACCAAGATTATCACATCGACCTTCACGAAGTCGACTAAAAAGGAAAAATCGAACTTCGGAGGTTGACATTTGGGGAGCATCGGTTAGCAGGGTTGCATCGACCAAAGAGAAGTCGACTTGCGGGGGTCTGACGTCGACCAATGGAAAGTCGATCAAGTGACTGGGGTCTAGCATCGACCTTCAAGAAGTCGACCTATTAGTTAGCCAACTCAGCCGTATTAACGTGTTAATCTAACGGATGTACTCAATTAACACTAAAAACTCGAATTTGTGTACTTAAAAAGATCAAATGCAAATAATGTACTCTTTACTCCACCCCATACAAGTTGATGTACTCAATTGAGCCTTATCTCTAAAGAAAAACGAGTACGTGACACAGACGAGTGTACGAAAAAGTGTACACCAAAATTTGGTGGACAGACAATTCTGTGTACGTGAGACATGCGAGTGTACGAAAAGTGTACACTAAAATGCGTACCCCTAACACAACTCCTATTTAAAACATACACATAGAGGGAGTTTTTTTGGTAGTTCTAAAATCTGAGTATTTCACAAAGTAGTGTATTTTTTCACGTAGTTTGAATATATATTTTCACTTAAAAGAAACATGTCGAGTTGAACTCGCAACCTCTCACGTACTTTATAGTAATGCAAAAACTAGAATAAAATGCTCATTTAGTACAAGTTCTCATTTAAATAAATTTAACGTATACGATAGTGTAGAACAACGGCGCTCATTAAGGATGAAGATGGTAACTACAAGTCACAAGACATTATCTTCCAACCAAGTCAATGTTACTCTTGCATGTTATGATGCCATCATCGACCTTCTAAACACCCTCAAGGACTTTCACCTAATCAATATCATTCTAGAGGTACATAGCAATTCAAGTATATTCATGAGAGTCTAACAGGTATATCTATCCAGCACTGGTCACATTGGACTCGTATTCAAGCTATTAAAAGAAAGCTTAAAAGCTACAACTGGACAATCACTATTACCCACCAAGTTATCAACAGTGCACCTGAGTATCTTCCTTACAAGAGCATATGAGCATATCCGTTGAAATAAAAAATCATCATTTTAAACATGTTGTTGCAATTCTCAAGTTTGATGCTATTAGTTTCTCGTATGTTATTTAATTTTGAGTAGGCTTTGATTTGGCACTCCCACTTTTTGTACTGTTTCGTTTCTAATAAATTGCTATGGTGTTCCCTGGCCCATGGCCCAAAAAACCATTAATCATTATGGTTTTTTGGACTTATACCGTTATACCGGGTAACAAAATAGTGTAGAATTTAAGTTCTCAGATGTACTATTTTAATCTGTGTATCACCGGTTCCTTTAGAATGTATTACTTCTTTCTCAAATAATTAAAATATGTTAAAATTTAAATTTGAGACATTCAATTAAAAAATAAAAACCAATTGAAAATTATGATAAAAACGTAGTTGGATATATGTAATTATGAAAACATTGTATTTTATATTTTCGAGTTCTGATAAGATGCTCGAAATTGAGCTACGCAAACAAAGAGAAATTGAAAAGTAAATAAATAAAAATAAAAATAATATATATATGAAAAAAATGAATAAATAAATAAATAAATAAATAAAGTAATAGATAAAATGAATAAATACATTTAATTTATTTATTCATTCATTAATACATTTATATATTTATTTGTTTGCTTGTTTAGACGACGTTTGATTAGACTATTGGTAGTGGTGCAGAGTCTGAAAAATTAAATATGGACTGAGTTGATATAAAAACAGTGTTTAGACTCCAACAATAATGTTTTCTCTGTATTTCAGCATCGTCAATAAAATACACTCAGAATTAGACATATCCTCATATTCCGATTCAACAGAAACCGACGGTTTTCGAACCGGAATCAGAGTAGCCTTACGGTTCGGAACCGAAGGTTCTAAGTAGCAATTTGGTTCTTCAGCTTTTGAGGAACCGGATCAGAACCGCTTTTTACAAATTTAAAAATAAATAAAAATAAATAAATAATAGTAATGATAATAACATGGGATAATGTACAAATATACTAATGTAGTATGGATGTAAGAACAAATATGTACATGTTCTGTTTTTGGAACAAATATACTCCTGAAGTTTATGTGGAAGTGCATATATACCCCTGAACTTTTGAAAGATACAAAAATACCCCTAATGTTCCTATAAAGGAGCAAATGTACCCTTATTCATGTTAACTAAATAAAATAAATTAAATTATAAAAAACATTAAAAATAAATTATAAATTAAATTAAAAATAAATAAATAAAAAGTGTTTTTTTATTTTAAAGGGCTTTATATCATTAATGTAGCATTCAACAAGGGTACAGGATAGTAAAAGAGCCACAAGTAACCATCCACCCTTGGACGAGACTCAGAGTTAACCACCTTTATCAAAGCAGTATAACTCGCTAGACCTGAATTGGGCAACTTTAAGCCAATGACGATTACCGTAGACCTCTCACTCCCACAAGCCTAATGCAAGAGTCTTACAGCATAAAATAAAACAACACACAAACGACTTAACCTAGAAATTAAAATGCAGAAAAGGTAAATTATAAGCAAACTCCAAAACACGTCGATCAACCCTTGGCGGTGGTTCTGGAGGAGGCCGGACCCTCGCAACGATTGTTGATGCACCAATCAGAGGGAGACCGATCAGTTTCTCCACGTTGTCCGTACTCTGCACTGCTCGGCTCTCCTCATCTGCGACAAATTGATCACCAATCCCCTACTTACCAACGCCAGCCATCTCCATCTGCAATCGTCCTCCTTCAATCTCGATGCCCAAGCCCTACGGAGAGGGAAAACGCCGGACCGAAATGCCATAAAAGGACGTCGCCGGAAAAATCAGCCTAGGAAAACCCTAGGAGACGGCCGCCTTTTCTTACCCCTCTTTCTCGAAGAGTTCGGAGCTCTCTACTCCGTATAATTAAAGTGTTAAAAATAAAGATTAATTTTTATGTTAAAATATCAACTCTTTAATTTTAAATTGGAAAAACATTATTTTTTCCGTTGTAAATGAAGCGTTTCAAATTCATAAATATTAAATTTAGTCCTTTTGCAAAGTTTTGAACACGTTGTTACATTTTTTGAAATAACATTCTTTGGTTTTGTTTAACCTTAATAAAATTAAATTCATAATTTTGTAATCTTGGAGTATTTATCATCATACAAATATGTATGATGATAAGTGAGGGAGAAACTTTTAGACTCTCGGGACCGTCGGAGACTCAGAAGGTGTTTATTTAAAGAAAAATGATAGATGTACATCTTTAGTACACTTGTTTGTCCACGGTGGACAATTCTTTGTGGAAGCGTATACCGTACAACCGGCTGTACGGCGAGAACCGTACAGTCGGTGGCATTTTTGTAATTTACATGAAATTCGCGTCTTGTACTAAATGAGCAATACAACACATCTAGTGAGCATGAGACGTATTTTGTTGAGCAATAAAACACATCGTGATCTCTGCTTCATCTCTTCGAATTTACTTTTTTTTCTTATTTTTTTCTTTATAAAAACTTATTAATTACATCAATAATCAACTCTTATGAACTTCAGTATGCGAATTTAATGGAATATGATACTTTTGAAATATGCATTGTTATGCCATTATACAAATGAGCACAACATGAATATTCGTTGAGCATAATAACTTATAAAATGAGAATTGATATGAAAATCATATGTACTTTAATTGAACATCAAGACGTTTTCATTGAGTATCAACTTGAAATTATAAGCACCAATGATTTTAATTATGTGATTGTGATGAGCATCAAATCTGTTCTTTTGAGTATTAGGGGTCTAACTATGAGCACCAGCAATTTGTGATTCATATCTTCTAATTCAATTTCTTTTTATTGTTTTTTTCATTTATTATTTCAATATCTGAATCCAATGTAGTATGATGCATTTGAAATGTGAAACATTTTTAAATGAGTATAAAACAATACCAAATGAGTATATGTAACTTACAAAATGAGTGTCCAAAAAATCAAAAGCTCATTTGTGTATGCTCATTCATTTTGGCGTTATAGTCATTTGAGTTTAACATAAAACTCATTTTCAATGTGTTCAATATTAATTTGTTGAGTTCATTTCTTTTAGGCATATACTCATTTGAGTTTAATGTAAAACTCATTTTCAATGTGTTCAATAGTATTTTGTGTAAGTTCATTTCTCTTAGGCATATATACATTTGAGTTTAAAATTAAACTCATTTTTATAATATTACTAAGAACGTAAAAAGAATTATAAAAAAATTGTGGCAGCAAGGTCAGAAATTAACAAGAGGGGAAAGTAGGACTGTGAAATTAGTAGAGGTAAAGAAATTGTGGCAGCACATAGCAGGTCACAAATCAGCAGAGAGGGGAAATAGACTAATAGTCGGTGAGGAATAGGGATCGCTCGCACAGGCCGTCTCTCTCTGCATCGGCCAAGCATCTCAGCCGTGAGTTGCACTTGTAAGCTTGGCTATCGGCGTTCTG